GTAAATGGAAAGCTTGATTAGCAGTCTGACCTGGTGGAACGAACTGCAAATGCACTAAGTGTGGACATTTTCGTCCATTCGGGAAGTTGATAGACGTCTAGAGGAGGTTTGTCATCAATCGACATTTCACCTTTTTGGAAACCGCTTGTACACTTGAATTTTTCCCATAGTGCTGTCTTTATAAGCTGTGTTCAACATCACAACGGTTTCTGCAGCATTTTTCTTGAGCAGGAAACAAAATTTCACACCTGCACACTGTTCTCTTAAATTGGTCATCATAAAAAACAAGGTTTGAGTGAAACTGTTTTTATGAAAAAATTCACTGTGACCAGAGAGAACCTTCCATGTTGACATCACTGGGTACGTTAACTCAGAATGAGTTGCTCACAGCTTGCCTAATGTGAAAAATGCATGCTACGAAAGCTCCACTCTACCCAGCAGAATTCCAGTCTTTTTTTAGGGGGTACCCCCTCATATATATGAATGTGACTATATTAAGGCTTCAAAAAGTTTGTGGAAAAGTAGAATTAAAGGTGGATTTTTTCCAGTTTTTTTGAATCCCCCTTATTTATGGAAATATACCTCAGACTGCTTTTTAGTTTAGGATATGTAACTGCCTCATTGTTAAAAACAAATGCTGGGTACTCCATAGTATGGGAGATAAATTATTTTTGTAATTTCAAATGGTCAAGTGAAAATCAGGAAATTCTGACAATTATATGCCATAAAGTATTTTCCAGAATCAGATCACTTTCCACTGTTTCATAAGTGTGACTGCCCTGGACTAAACTACCACCATCACCGGCTGGGAGAATTGCAAAGCCTTCTGTTATTGGTCATCTAATAACTGCCCTTGTCTCCTTTTTAGCTTCAGGCACACAGAATGCAGGTTTGAGGTCGATGCTCAGTATTCGTTGAATGAACAGATTCATTGCTGCCGAAGGGTCTTTAAGCATGGCATGACTCCCTTCTGTGGATCAGAGGACAACCACAGTCAAGTACAGACTCTGTTGGGGCTCAGAGGCACCTCCTGCTGGCCCCTGCCTCACGCCTGAGGCTTTCTTGTACTTTCCTGTGGGCATGCTTGCATTTAGGTTGAAAGCCATGACAACAGATTTGGTGTTTGCTTTTTTGGTGGACACCTTGGGGCTTGGAGTGTTTGCCGTTCTCCTCTTTGCTCCTGTTTCTTATAGTGATAGGCAGTTTCTCATCTGGGCTCTGCTCAGATGTTACCTCCCAACTAGAGCTAAAGAAGTCATCCTCTTGCCGTCTTTCCATCTCCTAGTCTATTTCATCCAAAGCACTCATCAGGTGCTGGTCTTCTATGTAATTTTCTGCCTGGCTCCCAGCCCAAGTACCAGAGAATGCACCTGGGGTTTCTGGCTTGCACACTGGTCAGAGTTTACTGAGGCAGGGCATCTAACTGATGACTTATGTGAAGGTTTAGGTTCTTAGGTAGGTCCTTTCTTGAATTAGGGCCTTTTTTGAATTTTAACTATTCCTTTAGAAAACAAACCTACCTCTTTGACTTTAGTTTTGAGCATGTTGAGTTTGAGTTACCTGTGGACAGCTAGGAGATGAAGTAGGCACCTGGTTGTGCATATCTGGAGCCCTGAGGTACAATGCCAGGACTGGGTCTGACAGGCTGGACACCAATCCCAACTCTGCCATGGCCGGCTCCCTGTGACTGTAAGCAAGCCCTTGGACATGCATGAGTCGTCAGTTTGTGCATGTGTACAATGGGAGTGGCATCACCTGCTTCACAAAGTGAGGATTTAATGAGAGTGTACTGGGGTACTTAGCACAGGGCTTGGTATATAGAAGGTGCTTGTTGTTAGGTACTGCTGAGTCAGTTCTGACTCCCAGTGACCCTGACCCTACATGCAGCATAATGAAACACAGCCTGGTCTTGCGCCATCCTCCACAATTGTTATGTTTTAGTCCATTGCTGCAGCCACTGTGTCAGGCCATCTCATCGAGGCTCTAATAAGAATGCCGTCAGTATTCTGTGGATTGGGCTGTAATGTGTATATGTGTCAGATATAATCAGAAGGCTTTCAGAGGGTAGCTCCATGACTTCCCATGTCCTTAGCTAGACTTCTCCTTCCTGGATTCCCTCTGCCCTGGATTCCATGTTTACAGTTCCTATCTGTACCAGTGTACATCCTCTGGTCTAGCCAGATTTGTAAGGTAGAATTGGGATCATGATAGTGGGGGGGGGGCATTTAGGAACTAGAGGAAAGTTTGCCTGTTTCATCTGTGTCACGTAGCCCTGAAGCTTTCCAGGAGCCCCGCCTCTTTGGTGGTGACTTCCCATTATGTTTTGACCCTAATTCCTTTGACAGCTTTAGGAACCATAAATAACCCAAATCCTGGAAGTCATTTGTGTTAACATTTTTGATTTGTAGATTTTTGCACACAATTACAGCTTTAATTTTCGTATACTCTTGCCCTCAGAAGAAACTCAGCTGTGAGCCTCAGAATAGCAGAACTCAGCCTGTGTTCCCCCTGCTCTTTCCAGCCTGGTTGTGGACTTAGTGGCAAGTAACTTAGGGTGGCAGGGACATCTTCCTTCTGACCTAGTGAGGTGACATGACAAAACATGGATCTATCAGTGATTGTAAGATTTCTGATGGGAATAGATAAAACTTCTTAAAACTGGTAATTAAAATTTTAGCTCTAAAAACTCTTCTGATATTGGTTCTATTAAACTGGCATTCCATGATGCTCACCTTCCTGACACAATCGCTGAAGACAAAGCGGGTGCATAAGCAAATGTGGTGAAGAAAGCTGATGGAGCCCGGCTATCAAAAGAT